GCGAGACAGGAGGCGGTGGAGTTGCTCCAGCAGCCAAGCCTGAGACGGCGGAAGGCGCACGGAGGAGCCGGAGTGGAGATGCGGGCAGGTGAGGCGGCCTCAGGGGACACGAAGTGACAAAGTGGGAGGACGCAGGGACTGTTTCAGGCGCAGGAGCCTGAATTGCCTGTAGAAAGCTCAACTGGAGGTGACGCGTAGATGCCTTCACTTGAGAGAGCTGTCAGCTCGAGGCTGAGGCTTGGGGTGGTCAGCCCCGAGGTGGGGGTGCAAGCTGGTAGGAGGGCACTCAGCTCCTGGGCTGGCACTGGTGGCCGGTCCCCAGCCCACCTTTTCCACTTCACTGAGGACGTCTTTGCGGACAGAGCCAAGCCAACACTCAGACAGCATCAAAATGGGGGCAACATCGAAGCTGCGGGTTCCAGCCCTCAATTATTCAGGAGCCCCTTGTCCGGTAGTTAAGGTCAATTTATGTCTTACAGTAGCTATTTAAGATTACAATTTAAAAAAAAACAAAAAGGAAAGCGAGCCCATATGCAACCTCAGTGCAGGAAAGAAAGCTTTGGCATCGGTCGTTTTGTGATTAAGTTTTCAGGCTGAAGTTTTCCTTCCTGAGTGTCCCTCAAAGGACTGTACGCGGTGGCACCTGGGCACGACGTGAGGCAACAAACCTCAATAATGGAGCATTTTTGACCAACCCAAAGGTTGCACTTGCACTGGCTCCGTGTTTCTCAGGCATTCTCTCACTCAGGCTCCTCTCAGAACTCAAAGGAGTTCCGGAGAGAGCCCACGGGGAGCGTCCCCAACGCAGGCCCCTTCTGTCGCCCTCAGAACGCGGCCCGAGCCCGACCCCGGCCCCTCCTGCCCTGCCCTCCCCCGCCCCACCTGAAATTGCTAAAATGAAGTCGGGCACATGGGTCTGTTGAGACTTCGAGAAAACACCACCATGGAAGGGCAGCTGACGACCACCGACTTTCAATCACTTGCACCAACAAATCCATCCCTCACTGGACCTCGTGCGTCACAGAGAAGTCTCTTCTTCTGCCCTTTCGAGGCTTCTGGGACTGTGCTCCTTTCTAAGGAAGACGACATGAGATTTCTAAATGAAAACACCTTGTGGAAATAAATCCGGCCTCGCTAGCATGGAACAGAAACGTATTTCAGCTGCCTCCTGGCCACCTGGTCTCAAGTGACGTCAAACCTAAGAGGCTCACGGGAATCGGTCTCCACTTCTGTTCACCACCAGCCTCTGCAGTGATGGGAACTGGACTTCGGAGCCGGAGGACCACGTCGGCAGCCTTGGCAGCCCCCTGGGACACGTGCCCACTGCCGCCCTGTCTGCCTCCAAAACACAGCTCACCGGGATTGCGGGCGAAATTGATGGCATGCGGAATAAATGGCAATGAGGGATTTCTCTTTTGAATTACACTAAATTAAAATGCAGGCTTTTCAAAAAGTAAAATGATCAGCGCTTCCACTGTGTGCCACCATGCTTTTTAAAAATTAAGCAACAAAATTTTTAAAAAGTTGTAAAAATGAAAAACTTTTAAAATAGAAAAAAAAAAGCATGAGCTAAAGAAAATATTTGTTATACAGCTGTACAGTATGTTGTGTTTTAAGGGTTACTACAAGAGTCAAATGTTTTAGTATTTTTTTTTAAGATTTTATTTAGAGAGGGGAAGGGAGAAAGAGGGAGGGAAACATCAGTGTGTGGTTGCCTCTCGCACGCCCCCTACTGGGGACCTGGCCCACAACCCAGGCGTGTGCCCTGCCTGGGAATTGAACCAGCGACCCTTTCGTTCATAGCCCGGCACTCAATCCGCTGCGCCACACCAGCAGAGCCAGAAATGATTGTTTTTCTACCTCCTCGCCAGCATGGACCGTTTTTATTTTGGCCATTCTAACCGGCGGCCAGTGATCGCTTAGCGTGACTTTAATTTGCCTTTCCCGACTGGCTCGTGATGCTGAGCACCTTTACATGGGCTCATGTGCCCTCTGTGTATCTTTTCCAGGGAAGTGTCTCTTCATATCTTTTGCCCACGTTCTCGCTGGGTTTTTTCCCTACTGCTGAGTTTTCAGACTTCTTTCCGTATTCCAGATACTGGCCCCTCTGCCGACTGTGTGGTTCGCAAGTATTTCCTTGTGCCCTTTGCTTGTCTTCTCATCCTCTTCTCAGAGGCTGTTACAGAGCAAACGTGTGTCGGTGAGGTCCGATTTATTACGCTTTCCCTTCATGGCTCACGCTTTTGCGGTCATGTCTTTTTCCTAACAATAGGTCCTGGAAGACATTACCCTATTTTTTTCCTAAAAGATTCCTTTTTACATTTTATTTTTACGCCCACGATCCCACGCGTGCTCTTTTTTGGGCAGGGCGGGAGGCTTACGTTGAGGGACACTTTTGTGCCTATCAGCATCCAGTTGCTTTCGCATCTTTGCAGACATCCGTTGGATGCACATGTGTTCTCTCTTTCTGTTGATCGTGTGTCTGTCCCTCTGTCAATACTAGATAGTCTTTTTTTATTTTATTTTTCAATTACAGCTTGCATTCAGTATTATTTTGCACTAGTTCCAGGTGCACAGCATGGTGGTTAGACAATCACATACTTTACAAAGTGTTCTCCCTGATACTTCCAGTACCCACGTGACCCCACACATAGTTATTTCATTGTTACTGACTCCATTCCCACGGCTGCGCTTTACATCCCTGTGACTGTTCCGGAATGACTACTCTGTCCGCCTCAATCCACTCACCTTTCTCACCCATCCCCCTGCCCTCCACCGCTCCGGCATCCGTCTGTCTGTCCCTCTGTCTCTATGAATCGGTCTGGTTTCTTTGTTCCTTTATTTTGTTCTTTAAATGCCACACGTAAGTGAAATCACACACCAACAAGCACAGGCTTGATTCCGGCAGCTCTGGCATACGCGCTAATCCTGCGTGAGTTCCCCCGCTTCATTCTCCTTTTTCAAGGTCGCCTCAGCTAGTCTAGACCCTGAGTGTTTCCTTATAAATGTTAAACGAAGCTTGTTTCCAATAAAACATCAGAACGTCTGTAGGAATTGCAGGAAACCTCGAGGTCAGTGTGGGCGAGAACCGACATCTCCACTACATTGGGTCTTCAGTCCACAAACATGCGGCGCCTCTGTGTTTATGAGGGTTTTCCTCTGTTGCTTCCACGTCTTTGTCATTTTCAGCGTACAGATCGCGTACGCGTCCCTACGTATATTGCTAAGGATTTCATTTCCTTCGCAGGAATTGTAAACAGTGCTGTTTTTAATATCAGTTTCTACATGTTCCTGGCTAGTATATAGAAATGAGATTGATTTTTGTGCGTTGATTTTGTATCATGCACTGAACTCACTAGTTCTGGTTTGGACGCTCTTTTGGTTGGTTCGTTCATTTTTAGATTCCTTGGGACTTTCTATGCAGACAATTACGTCATCTGCAAATAGGGATGGTTTTGTGTCTCCCTTTGCAATCTCTATGCCTTGTATTAATTTTTCTTGCTTTATTGCAGCAGCTGGAACTGCCAGCACTATGTTGAGTAAGGACAGAGTGAAAGCAGACATCCTTGCTTTGTTCCTGAACCGAGATGGAACACCTTCAGTCTTTTGCTGTTAAGCATGACACAGCTGTGGGTTTTTAGTATCACTCTTCTTACAAAACGCATGTCGTCCTTCCCCCCCCCCCCCCCCCCCCCCAACCTCTCCACCTCTTCTTTTTAAGAAGACGCTGAAGGCTTAGGGCTTGGCCCGGCTGAGATGACACAGAGCGAACAGAAAGCCCACAGGAGATTTCAGCACTTCCTTCTCCCCGCAAGGCTGGCCAGTGCGATAAAACCCAAGTTCCTTTCAAGAGGCGGGCGGGCGGGGGAGGGCAGGGGGCAGGGGGCGCCCTTTACAGCCCCAATCAGCGCCGGGGAGCCAGGCTCCTTATCAGGGCCCCTGCGCTGGGGACTGAGCTGAGGGCGCCCTGGAGATGAGGCAGAAAGTGGCCTCACACAGCCAAGCCTCGGGAGTGGGGTTCCTGTCCCCGCCCCGGCTGCGCCGCTCTCCCGGCGGCTGGCTCTCAGCGGCCAGCGCGCTGCCTGCCAACCTGAACTGGCGAGCGTCTCCGATACCCAGATCCAGGGCGACAGAGTGGCCAGGGCCAGGCTTAGATTTGCGCGAGCTGCAGGCGGCGGCCCACCCCAAGAGGGACCCGTCTGTGAAGAGAGGAAGCGGATTAAGACTTCCGCGGCTGGAACAGAGGCAACCGCCAAGTGCCAGCGCCGTACCTGTGACCCGAGGAGCAATTCTTTTTAATGCGGGAGGGGGATGGGCAGTGGAACCTAAAATTTAAAAGGGAAAGGCAGTCACCCCGGCCCACGGAGCCGTCCCCTCTAGGCCCCGCCCCCGGCTCCGCGCGTCGCCCCGCCCCCCGCGGCCCGCCCCCACGCGGCGCGCCCCTCGCGCCCCACCCCCGGGCTGGCCCGGACCGCACCTGCGCAGGTTAGACCCGCGGGAACGCGCTGGCCGTGGGTGCGGGGGAGGTGAGCGGAGGTGCGCGGCGGGGCGGGTGGGAGGGCGAGGCGGCGATGAGGACGCGGGCCTCCCCCGCTAATGGCCGCGCGGCCCGGCGGCGACGGGGGGCGAGGGCCGCGGCTGGAGGGGATGTGCCGGCCGCTCGCGCGCCGGGGTCCTCTTCCCACGCGTTTTCCTCCGCCGGTCCGTACCAAGCCGCCGGCGTGGGGGGGGGCGGGCCGTTCCACTCGGGGGGAGGGGCGCGGGCCCGGCGGGGGCGGGCCGGGGGCTGGGCCGCGCCGCGTCCCGTTTCGTCCCGTCCGCGCGCGGAGGCCCCTCCTCCCGGCGGCGGCGGCGCGGGGCGAGGCCGCAGCGCTCGGCGGGGCCGCGGAGCCCGCTCCCGTCCCTCCCCCCCGCCCCGGCTCTCGCGTCCCCGCGCCCCCGCCCCGCACGGGGACGAGCGCCGCCGAGCGCATGCTGAACCCTGTCCTCTTCCTCCTCAGGCGGCGCTGGCGGCGGCCCCGGGACCCGCGGAAGCCGGCATGCTGGAGAAATTCGAGTTGGAAGAAGAAGGTGAGTGCCCCCCACCGGGACGCGCCTCCGCTCCTGCGTCCAGGGGCCGGGCCGCCGGCTCCCCGCGCCCCGGAGGCCGCGCACCCCGCCGCGCGCCCGGCCCGGCTGCCCGGCGGCCGGCGATGGAGGCGCGGGGCTGGCGGAGCGCGTCTGCAGTGGCCCGCGGTGCCTCCGCAGGGGAAGCGAGCGGGGTTCCAGGACGGCCGCTCCTTTTGTCCTTAGCAGCCGAACCCGGAGGCGAGCAAGGTGTCATGCAGTAGTAATTGCTTGTAATGCTGCAGGGGTAACCCCCCAATTATGTTCCTGGGCCATCCCTGTAAATAACGCAAACTGTCCCTTCTATGTATTTGTGAAAATACCGCCGCCAGGGTGTGTCGTCTTGTTGTAAATAGGGAAAGTTAAATGGGAACACCTGAAGCGGCTGAGTGACTTGGTCTGGAGTTCAGGTGACTCTGTCACTCCATCATTTCTGTCATTTCTTCTCTCGATTTTCTCCCCCTGCCTGTTTTTTTTTTTTTTTCTTCCTTCATTTGGATCTTAGTTTGAAGCTGTTAAAGCGTGAAGGGATTGGTTTGTTCTTTGGCAAAATTAATATTTAATATGGGATACAATGAGGTGTTACCTGGGTCTTACTTTGAACCTCAAAAACTTCAAAGGGAATAGGTTGATGTTTGGCAAAATGAGTATGTCGAGTGGACTATCACAAGCTCCAAGTAGGAAAAGAACTTTGTGTAAGATGCTCGACAGTTTGAGGAATTTGAAAGGTTCCCATACTGTCCTGTGGACTTGCATTTTTTATTTAGTGATTTGTCTTTTTTTCGAGAGTATTGACAGAGTAAAGCTCCTGGCACAAACGATGTGCTGTGTGGGCACGTGGGGCAACTTTAACCCTCTAGTTCCCGTGCAGCCAGGCAGTTCCTTAAACATAATGCACAACCCATGTGAAGACGTGAACCCGGGCGTCCTAAGCCAGTGGCTGCGTGTATTTTGTTTTAGATTCCCTGTAGCTGTCCACAGACATCTCAGCTAGGAGATAATGCATTCATAGTGATGGGCATTAAGAGTCTGCATCTGTATATATTCTTACCAAGCAGATACACGATACGCTGCAGAATTTTAGTGGGACTTAATTTGCATTTTGTCCTACTGAGGAGGTGTCCTGCGGAGGCGTCCACCTCCTTATTCCTTAGCTTTATTCTGTCACAAGCCAAATTTTGGCCTCTGTCCACAGGGCAGTAGGGGGTGCCCCCCCCCTTTTCCATTAAGGCTTTAAATGTGTACCTCACAGGGGTTGTCTTTGTCTGTGGTATCAGTAACAGTGAGAGCCACTGCATTTAGTTAAACGTTTTTGCAGACTCACGCGGAGACAAGAGGGAAGTGGAGGGCAGACGCTAACAGAGAGTGGCCATCGCTATAGTCGGAACACAGGCCCCGCCTCAGACCTTAGCTCCCCTTCTTTTGCAGCTCTGTGACCTTGGACGAGTAACGTGATCTCTTTGTGCCTTAGTTTCCCCATTTATGAGATACAGCTGTGTCAGGGTATGTTGCGGATTAAATGAAATCACCCACACAGCGATGTCTAGTACAGTGTAAACCCAGAGGAAGTACCCTGTAAATGTTTTTAACTATTCTCTCTTAAGGGCCATTACCCACTGTACTGAATTCATGGGCTTCCCAAGGCCTTTATCAGTGAATTTTAACACAAGAGGTTCTTCTCAACACGAGGCTGATGGTTCTTTGCTTTCTTGAGATTTAGTGATTTAATTGTGTTTCATTTCTCAGAACAGATACAGAAACCTTATTTCTTTTGCATTTTTTTTTTCCTGCCCGTGGAATGAATATAAAGCAGGAAACCTAAGCACCTAAGAAGGGAATTTCCCACGTGGCGCATCTGTTTTTATCTCTGTTGCTGTCGTTACACGAAAGCACGATGGATCCCACAAATAACCCTGTCAAACTTTTCTGGGTGTTCAAGGAGGCAGAATGTTAAGCAGTTGCTCAGAAGCTGTTAGCTGGGCTCAGAGAAGGAGTGGTGTTGGCATGTTGTCTAAAATGCGGCTTTGGTTTTCTTTCCTTTTTTTTTTTTTTTTTTTTTTTTTTTTACTTTAGATTGCTTATTCGTCCAAGATACAGGAAAACTGCATATCAGGCAGAATCGTGTGTTTATTTTGGGGGAAAAAACCTTCTAACATAAGACGTTACACCTTTAAATATCCTGTGATCTGATGTGTTAGCAGCCTCCATAATAGATAGCTGATGAGTTGATTCTCACTTAATCTTTAAACTTCCTCCCTATCCTGTTAATGTCATAATTTATGCATTGCGGTCCGGAAGCATTACTTAGGTGGAGGCACATTGGTGTACACAGAAACACATGATAACTAATATTTTGTTACTAAGTATTTTTCTGTTTCCTAATAAATTATAACTGATGCTATATTTGTGAGAAGCAAATCAGAAGCATCAGTGAAATTGGAGTCATGTCTTAAAATGTCATTTGCTCCTGGGAACAAAGAAGGAGCTGTCTAGCGACGTCCCCTGTGCAGTTCGGGTCCTTACCTGGATTCTGACGCCACTTTCTGCTCTCAGCGCTTCTGACCATCACACTGTGACCCAGGGACCTTTCTGGAGTGTGGACGGGCGGCTCTGCTCCTTTATGGGGAAATCTTTACCTCTTGCCCGCGACGCTGTATAGGATCAGTACGTGCTTTTCCTCATCTGCGGCCTCACCGCCTCCTCCGAGCCACACCCGCCAGAGACAGGAGAGCTTTCTGGGCGCAAAACTCGCCAGGGCTGTTTCTAGGAGGCAGGTTCTGGTTGTGTGGGTCTGGGATGGGCCCGAGCGCCTGTGTTTCCGCCAGACCCCCAGCCGCTCCTGCTCCGCAGACCCTTGTCTGAGTTACAAGGCCCCGGGACAGGCACCCGCCACCTTCTGCAGAGGGCCAGCTGGTCTCTGCCTCTGGCACTGCCGCGCGGCTGGCCGGTGCCGCAGCGAGGCCAGGACTGCCGGAGACCAGGTCAGCCCCATAACATGTTATATACAGGGGAGGGGCCGGACGTGGCCCACAGGCGCAGCTTGCTCCGCGTATCCTTCACGCCTGTGTGTCTTCTGGTGTCACAGCTCTTGAGAGTAAGGCTTTCTCTGCTTGCAGTCTCCACGGCCTGCCTTACTCATCCACCATGGCTCCCCTGACGTCTCGCCCGCTCTTGAAGGCCGTGCCCCAAGACCCTTCTCTACTTCCGTAACAACTCCTCTCCTCCTCGCCCCAGTGTCTGATGTGGCTGGCACACAGGAGGTGCTCAGTGGTGTCTCGGTATCTCTGGGCACAGTAAAGGTTTATTCAGTAGTTCCTCCTTACCGGCAGGAGATACTTCCCTAGATGCGTGGAGGGTGCCTGATCCTGCAGGTTGTCCCAAAGCCCGTGGTCACCTGCCGTTCCCTCTGTGTGCGCACCTTACGCGCATACCCTTCTGCCTGCAGGGGGCGCTCTACGGCTTCCCTCCGGCGTGCCCACATTGCCAGCCTCCCTGTGTTTGAGCTTTGGGGTCATCATTAAGGAAAACGAGGGCACCTCGAACACAAGCCCTCCCACACCAAGGCAGAGGGATCTGATGGCGGAGACGGCCGCCGCGTGACTCACGGGCAGGCGTGTCCGCAGCAGGACATGCGGGTCAATGTGATGGTCCGTCACGCTACCCAGAATGGCGCGCAGCTCAAAACGGATGGATGTCTGCGTTCAGGAGTTTCCTGTGGAACGTTTTCGGACCACGGTTGGCCTTGGGTAACTGAAACCACGGGAGGGGAGCCCCTGGATAGAGGGGGCGACCGTCGTTCCTTTATGGAACGCCGGGGTCAGTGTACGCAAAGTGAGGAGAACGGTGCCCAGCCCATTGTTACATATTTGCTCTCCGGTTTTGTTTTTTGTTGTTGTTCTCTCAGCCCTAGCTGCATGTGTGTGTGTATCAGGAGTAACCGTCTTAAACTCACCTAAAGGCAGGACCGAGTGCAAGCACTGGGAAGCCCGGAAACACAGCCCACGAATGCCCTCTGAGGTGGGTGAGCCCCCAGCGGCTTGCCCGTGATGAATACGCCTGTCATCCTGGCACGTGAAGAATCCGCTCTGTTGTCTCCTGGCCGCCCTCTCTGTGTGTCAGCTGTCACAGGCTCTTCGGTGGTGCAGGTTTCCCCTAACGTGCCGTGGTGGTTTTGTCGCCTGTCCGGCCAGCCGCCTGCCCCGCCCGCACCCGCCTACTGCCTTCCTCCCGGGTGGCCCCTTCTGTCCCGGCAGTCCCTCCTTCACCTGGAAGGCATTTTCCAAAATACAGCCTTCTCAGAACGGGTCTCCAAACTCGGGTTTAGAGCGAGACGGGTCGACCTAGGTGCTTCCGGGGCCAGAGGACACGGAGAGATGGGCAGTGTCTGTGGTTTTAGTTTCACGGGGATGGGACCGTGGGGGGGAATGTAGAAAAAGGGGCAACGGCCAACGGCACGGAGGCGGAGCAGCGCCGCTCTGCTTGCTTAAGGGGGGCGGTGTCCCTGTGTGCTGGTGCCCACTGGGGAAAGCAGTCCGTCACGAAGCATCAGAGCAGCCACCGCTCAGGGAGCTTCGTGAGTGCACTTGACAGTTTACAAACGAGAGAGTGACGGGCACTGACCTCTGGTGGCAGAGACAGTCAAGTGTCAGGTTTCTGGCGACAGTACAGCCGGGTTGCTCCTCTGTTGTGCCTTCCCCTTCGCAGTTTGCCTCCTCCCCTCAGACCCGCTGTCTCACGGTTAGGAAAGGAGTTAGAACGGTATCTTCGCTGGCTGGCCCCCCAGTAAGAGCTTACCACATTCAGCCAAGCTCAGGTACGCATTTTATTGTGTCTTGAAGTCAGGACGTAGCTCAATGGGAGAGCAGGGCTGTCTTGGAGACCCAGGGGGTTCTATTGCTAGAAATGAAATGGTCCCTCACTGTTGTGCACAGGAGGACTTGGGCACTCTGAAAGCAGGGCGTGTC